TAACAAAAACACAACATAATTAGAACATTTACTCCTGACCCAGAACTGACTCGAGCCTCGCTTTTATGATTTCTGGGAGGTTACGTAACATATGATGTAATGATAGGCCACGGCGACTGCACATCTAAGTTCAAGCGACTTTATCTCCCCATGAAGGCATAATGCAACTTTACTATTGTGTATTAGCTGTACAGTTTGCTTGACGCTGAAGTTTTCTTACAGTGTCAGTGTTCGGCAACTCTGACAAAAACACCTCTCAAGCAAAAATCCCTAAAAAGCAGCAGTTAAGAAAGCTGATGCACACTCTCCAATAAACATAGCATGACTAATCCCTCCTCACAAATGACAAGGCCTAGTCATCCTACACACAATGAATGGTCTCCTTGTAAATGACTTCAAAGCAGAGCAACACAGACTTGAGTGATGGAACTACATTTCTGTCAGTAGCACACAGGGTTAACTAAACAAGCAATTTCAGCAGTGGCAGCGTGTGCTAAAAAGCTTGATGGGGCTGGCTAAGCTCCTGTGATTGGCCTTTGTGTGTGAGAATGACCACTTAAGTGCTGTGCAGCCCCTCTTGGGTATGTTTGTGGGCATAAGCATTTCCTCTGACTTTTTGCGTGCTCGCACTGTGTGTGTGCATGTGTACCCTTGAGTGTGCGTGCATGCTCACGGGTGCATTTGTGGTTGTTTTGCTGGTTGTGTGCGTGAGAGAGTACGTCTTTGTGTTGAAGCAGTGTCCTGCTTCACTGTGTTGCTGCATAGTGTGTTTGCCATTTCCAATAAGATTGTATTGCCCCATGTGAAAAAAAAAATAACACTGAATTACTGCAGTTAAGCAGCTTTTGAAAGAGAGAGTATTCACAGGTTCACAAAGAAAAATTCCCTGACCCAAACAGTGTCCACAAACAAAATATTACTCCTCTCAATTTAATGTAATGTGTTATTTTCTTGTTTTCAGGTAATGTCTCCAACAGCATTATATATTTACAGGCCCCTGTTTCATCTCCACTCCTGCACATTAAATTTGATATGACACAGTGACTATGTGGTTTAATAAGTGATGACTTTCAGCTTCAAGGGTGTTTTGGGGTGTTAACAGTGGGTGAACAGTGTGTGACTGGTAGCCCTTTGAAAGAGGTCATATTATGCTTTTAGGCTTTTCCCCTCTCCTTTATTGAGTTATATACCTTTTTTGTGCATGTAATAGGTTTGCAAAGTGAGAAGTCTGAAGAGTTCCCATCTCCCACAGAAAACTCTGCTCTAAAAACAACTTGTTTATAGTCCAGCCACTTCCCTTTCATCCTTGTGACATCACAGCAAAATGCACGTCGTAAAGCTCGCCAAGCGGCTAGTCTGACACGCCTTCATAAACACTGGTGGAAAAACAGTGAGCTGCAGCACACAGCGCTCCTCTCCCTTCCAAACACTAGCTACCCTCCAGGCAGTCAGTGGACATAAAGTTGTTCCTGTGATGTAGAGACAGAGCTCAGTATCACTCCATAGCTAAAACTAAGTCTTCAACACAGGGTGAAAACAGGAGCTACAGCAATGTGCAGTATGACAAAAATCTGGTGTTTTTCGAAAAAGTAAACCTAGTCTGGTACAACCCCTAAATAAGGTTATGAACCTGAAAATGAGCATAATATGACCTCTTTAATATTTAGCAAAATGCATCAGGACATCAAATGCATGATCCTAAACATGCAGACAAGGGAGCTAAGGAGTTGTTAACGGCCAAACAGTGAGAAGGTCTTTGCTTGCCATGTCGCACATACTTCCTAATTTCAAACTGGTTGTTTAATGTGTTTCACTTGCTAAAGACCAGACTGCAGGCCCAAAGCCCCTGAAGGATTCTCACAAGAAGAAGTAAAGATGGCTGCAGTACAGGCATGGCAGAGCATTACCAGAGAAGAAACCCAAGTGCAGATATCTTTGGGTCAGAGCCCTCAGTCTGTCAGTCAGTGAACGCAAAGGATGATGCCTTTAACATAATAACTATGTACATAGAAAGGACTACAATAATGCACTAGTTGCCCACTGTTGTTGTAAACACTATCAAAACGAAGATAATGATAAGTCAGCACTTCATATTCATCGATCCATCCATCCATTATCTATAACCTCTTACCCCACACAAGGAGGCGGTGTACACCCTGGACAGGTCTATGATAGTAGGTCAAAGGTGAACTGCTGAAAAAATGTTGTAATAGTTGTACTATTTGACTTCTCTTCCAAATTGGCAAACCTGACTATATTACCTGACAATATTGATAGCTGAGCATACAGCTGTAGCACTGTACGTTAATTAAGACATCTTTGTGTCGTGCTGATGAAGAGGTACGTATTAAGGAAATAACAAAATATGACTTCAACATTCTATCTGAACAACTTTTAGAGGAGAGGGGACATTTCTATTAATCTGCAGCAAATAGACTTCCCATTTGAAATGTTTCCATGGTAGCAAACGTTATAGTAAGCGATGAACTTTAACTGTAAAACCTGCACTTTGATACAGTTTATAATGTCTAATGAAACATGAGTATGCGCCAGTCACATATAACATAAGATGTTTGTTCCTGTGTAATGGTGGACTGTGATACACAATGCATTCATGTGCCTATACTGACTCATGAAGTCACCCACGCATTGGAGGGAACTTACTAGACTCCACCATAAGCATGCACCATAAACTCCCATTAGCATAGATGCTAACGCATGAAATGGCCATTCAGCTTATGTTAAATGTAAATACACATGTGCAACATGTGGTATTGACAAAAACATGTTTTAGTCCAACTTTCAGTAAGATTTGTTTAGTTATTATTTAAGCTGTCTTTCTCGGTTTCTATTTTTTTATAAGCTGCTCCCACTGGAAGTGATGCGATGAGGGATGGAACTCATTGGAACTTTTATGATTGGCTCATAGTTCATGGGGTCATTTTAGAAATGCGTTCTCGACTCAATGAAAGCTATCTGTGTATTTAAAACATTGCATGAAATTTAATCATTTAATTGTTTCAAGGCTGCAATGTTTGCATCACTGCAGAGCTGCGAGAGAGTAATTGTGTTATATATAATAGTGTTTCTAATGATTGTTGTTATACTATGTTTTCCTTTTGAAAACAAACAGGGGACAATCAGTTCTTGACTTCAATGAAAATTGAGCTGGTAAACTTGACTGAACAGTCCAGAGCTGCACTGTTCACTCACTGCACAATCCGCAATAGCTTTTCACACATCAACATTAGCTTACCATTTGACTAACAGAACATCTGCAAATAGTGATAAATAAGGCAAAGTCATGCACAGAGCATTGCTGTGATGCCTTCCAGTGAGAGCTGCTCACCCAGCACGTATGCCCAATAAGCTTCACTTGCTTCCTTCCCATAACTTATCCATTAGTGTCTTTGTCTGGGGGATTCTTCACACACGTGAATGGCGCAAAATGAATACTTTGATATTGATCTTGGGTGCTTTCAAATAAATATCGTACTTAATGTTCAAATTGTGATAAGTCACAGTCTCTGCTGAATGTGGGTGTTGATGCATATGGCAAAAAGCCCGTCTGGCTCCCTGAGCTGCAGTTACAACTACGCAGGCCTCATTGAGATCCTAGATGGTGTACAATTTCCTCCTCACACACACACACACATTGACGTTCACTGCTGCCACTGGTGCCTGCGAGTGGAGACCCACTAGGGGCCCATTATTGCCTTGCAGAGTCATTATATCAGTTATAACATAATAAACATGCATACACACAGTTAGTTATTTGTTTCACCTGGTATCATCCTGATCATCTTCTCTGTGTTTGTTACATATCCATATTCCAATATACAGTCCTCTGCTGCCTCCCCTCTAACACATCTATTGTGTGTGTGTAAGTACAAGAGAGAGATGCGTTTACCATTAGAAGGGCCGAGTCCTTCAGCAGACGGGGTCAGTGCTCTAATCTGAGGAGGTGATGATATTGTGAGGATATTTAATGAGAGGATAAAAGCAAAAGTGAACGGAGGGGATTGAGTATTAGCCTTTTTAGATATCATTAAACATTAATACTGTCAGGGGACTGGAGCACACTGGGGTCCTTTTCATTGACTTTCATGCTGCGTGCTAATAGAGTTTCACCTCTGGGGACCTCCACACCCCCACCCAGCCCTCGGTGCGGCGCTAAGGCTAAGGGAAGATCAGATTGCCGCCCCGCTTCTGGGGATAAGATTAGTGGGTCCGTCTGTGCGTGTGTTAATTGTAGATTATGTGAGGTTATGCACTTTCTCTTGCTCCCTTTCTGTCGTTTGCTCATGACGTATGATATATGCATATTATAACTATTCTAAAACTATTAAAAGGCCCTGAAGAGACTTGCATACATTAACCCAATACTTAATCCTGAGAAGGACTTCAAAATTGCTTTTTTCCTCAATGAACACCTCAAAGCTTAAACATATTCCGTTTCTGATAAGACATACAAATGGGGCAAATTTGTTGGCATTTTTGCCAGAAAAATTATGAACAATTTTCAAAATAGTTGACAAATTGATTAACTGACTAATTGTTTCTGCTTTACTCTTCACAGGTTGTTCATTTGTAATTGCATTTAACTGTTATGACTAATGACAAATTTAACAGTAATAGAGACATTTATCCCCTTACTATTGTTATATGACCTTTTCTTAGCCTACATTAACTTGTGTTTAGAAAAGAAAATACCCGCAATCAGTCCTTTAGTCAAAGGTCTCTCTATCTGAATGGTGTTTATCATGTGAAGCACCAACAGAGGGCAGTGATCCCCTTCTAAAGAAGAGGCATGCCTGTGCACAGGAAATCAAACTGTGTGTGTTTGTGTGTGTGTATTTATTATACAGCTGGGTGTGGCTGAGAAAGAATGTGCCTACACTACTCAGTGGGGTGTGGGCAGATGGCGATGGAGGGAGCTGTTACTGCACAAACCTGAAGCCCCACCGAAACCAAAATTTATAAATGAATCTCATTCACAGGACTTCCTCTGTTCTCCTCTCCTCCCCTGGAGTGCTGTCTGTCAACAACTCAACTGCACAATGTAAGAAACATTAGCACAGCTTGCACTGATTAATAATTTTGCCTATATTCAAAATTGAACCCTTCATGCCTTCACTTTGTGCAGTATGATAATGTAATAAATCATTGTAACCGCAGAGGAGTGCATGGTGTGCTTTCACATGTTCAGTAATGCCTTTAAAGCAGTGTTTTTCTTTCTTTAACAGATCCGCTGAATCCACTTCCACAATTTACTTGATTGTAACAGGCTTCTGCTGGTCAGGCGCAGCTAAGTAAGTGGCCGAATTGAATTTCATTCACCTAAACACAAACATTGAAAGGTGCGATGTTTATTCTCACATCTGAAAATTCCACATTTTTCAAAAGATATACAGCCAGTTTCACAATCCACCATCCAGATTTCATTTTCATGAATCGCTTTCATGCTCTTCACACTTGGCTTGTACGTGTGAAAATCCTGACCAAGGAGAAGCCCATGTAACACACATATTTAAATGCAAATACAGGCCCTCTGAATTATCATTTATTATTATCATTATTAGGTAAGCCTTATCCACAGATTTCCACAGGCTAATCAGAATTAACGATGATTCCAAAAGTGTATAAATCGTTATTTTGCACACATTAAAGCACACTTGTCTTCATTACAAGGATATTAGAAAATATCATTTGCTGTCATCAATTTAGCAGATGCTGAATATTAATACTAGAAAGCTTTTGTTCAAATATATTTTCTTATTATCTGAACCCATACATGTACAGAGGATCCTCGGGCATCTTCACAAATGTTCTTTCTGAAAGTAGAAATCTGGAGTCATTCATTATGTTCCATGACTTTGTAATTTTATTTTTCATAAGCGCATTCAATAAAAGACATCAATTCATTCAAGTATTCAATTCTACTACATTCATAAGAAACTTGAGAGTATACCTCAACTGAACTGTCACTGGTGGAAAAGTTATCATATTCTTTACTAAAGTTAAATGCAACAATACCATGATGAAAAAATGATTAATGGCCGGTGAAAGTTACGAGTTTAGTTTAGTTGCTGTGTGAACAGTTTGGAAAACCTACGTTCTTGTCTCTAAATAATGCTGGCCAATATTAAATACAAACGAAAAACACTTTGTAAGAACACTTTTGGTACCTATTTGGATACTATTTTTATTTATCGCTACATTTATTTATTTATTATTTTATACAGCCCTCTCAATTAAGAGACCATTCAAAATTTGTCTTAAATCAGTGTCCATTTCATTCCAGTGGCTGGTAAATTCCAACACAGGCGAACATCATTCTACCTAATGAGGTAGTGATTAAAGTGATTAGGCAGGGTGAGGAAAATAAGGGTTAAATTCTGGCGTTACTGTCAGAAGGATACAGTGAACGTCAGGTTGCTTCCACCCTTAAAATTTCAAAGATGCCTGTTCACAACAACAAGGTCAAGCAACAGACAACAAAGCTACAGACTGGCAGAGGGCAAAAACGATTGTCCACTGACCGGGATGACCGCCAACTCATTCGAATGTCACTCAAAAGCCGAAGGATGACACCAAGTGATTTACAACAAGAATGGCAAACAGCAGCTGGAGTGAAGTGCACGGCGAGGACTATTTGAAACAGGATCCAAGGGGCAGGGCTGAGGTCATGCAAAGCTAGAAAAAGGCCCTTCATCAATGAGAAGCAAAGACAAGCCAGGCTAAAGTTTGCAAAACACCATAAGGATTAGACCGTAGAGGACTGGACTAAGGTCATCTCCTCTGACGAGTCCAATTTTCAGCTTGTCCCAACACCTGGTCGTCTAATGGTTAGACGGAGACCTGGAGAGGCCTACAAGCCACAGTGTCTGGGACCCACTGGTAAATTTGGTAGAGGATTGGTGATGATCTGGGGGTGCTTCAGCAAGGCTGAAATTTAGCAGATTTGTCTTTGTGAAGGACGCATGAATCAAGCATTGTACAAGGTTATCTTGGAAGAAAACCAGGATTTCCGAACTCTGAGGATTGTTTCTTCCAGCAGGACAACGCTCCATGCCACACAGCCAGGTCAATCAAGGTGTGGATGGAGTCCCACCAGATCAAGACCCTGTCATGGCCAGCCCAATCTCCAGACCTGAACCCCATTGAAAACCTTGTGAATTTGATCAAGAGGAAGATGGAAGGTCACATAAAGTCACCCGACAGCAATGGGAAAGACTGGTTGAAAATGAAAGCTGTAATTAAAAATCAGGGTTATTCCATCAAATATTGATTTCTGAACTCTTCCTAAGTTAAAATATTAAATGCAAATACTCTGTATAGCGCCTTTCTTGACCACTCACAGCACTTTTACACTACATCGCATTCACACACTGAGCCTAAGTGCTCAGACAGTCAACAGCCATTCGGGGTTCGGTATCTTACCGAAGGACGCTTTGACACGCAGCCTGGAGGAGCCAGGGATTGAACCACCAACCTTCCAATTAACAGGCAACCCGCTCTACCTGCTGAGCCACAGCAGCGCAATTTTAAATTTGTGTTGTTTAAAAATGAATGTTGTTTTCTTTGAATTTGTTAATGTCTGAAAACAAAATAAATAATCTAAATGACAGCTATTTTATTTGCAATCTTTTATACAGGTAACAAACTGAGATTGTGCTCCTACTCTCACCTCAGGTACCTGTATAAAAGATACCTGGGAGCCAGAAATCTTTGTGACTGAGAGGGGTAAAATGAAAATCAATTTATACAATTTTTGACATGGGTTTTTCTAGATTTCTTTGTTGTTATTGTTTCTCTCACTGTTCAAATAAACCTACCATTAAAATTATACACTGATCATTTCTTTGTCCATGGGTAAACTACAAAATATTTTTTCCCTCACTGTATATATATAAAAATACCCCTCTCACCGCTTGTGGGGTGGTATGTGTCATCCTCAAGCTCGGGTCCTCTACCAGAGACCTGGGAGTTTGAGGGTTCTGCACAGTATCTTAGCTTCTTCCTAGGACTGCACTCTTCTGGACAGAGTCTGCGTATTTACTGTATTTTCAGTCTGAGCAGCTCTTATCAACCCACTGTGGGCAGCTGTTTCCAATTTCAATTACACACATAAAGTAATTTGCAGCAGCTAATATGTTTTTGATGGTTGTGCATGGGCACCTAAAGCACTTAGTTAAGGTTAGGAAAAGATTGTGGTCTGATTTAATTCATAAAAAGTCCACAATGACCTGATACACAACATGTTTATTAACATTTAACCAATGCCACGATCTTCTGCAAACCTTAACCAAAGTGCTTTTGTGGCCTAAACCTCACGCTGGTTGCAAACCTTGGTCTGTTTTGCGCTTTACGTCCGCCATCCACCTCCATGCAAATCCAGTATGGTAGATAAATGTAAGGCTTCATTCAATAAAAAATACCTTTACCTGTGAACATAAGCCAGGCAGCAGTTTAGTAACATGTAATTGTAATTATTAGGAGACAGGGTTGGATAAACCAACTACCTGTCCAGCACCAAGCAGCAGACAGACAAAGTTAATGACTGTTGAGACAAATTGGGAATCTTGCAAAATAAACACCCAGATATTTTCCTGAGTGAGGACCACAAAGAGGGCTAAAGGGAGAGTAACTGTTAGATGTGTCAGATGAAAAAAAAAGAAAGATGTTTCAGATGAATGGAAACACAACTCCAAATGAATGCTAATCTAATGTGTGTGTGTGTAAGTAGGTAATTGTTGACACATTACTCATAACAACTTTGTAAGCCAGGGATACGTGGCGGCTGTGTATCTGAAAGACAATGGCCAAAATTCTATTGATGCAGCTATGAGAAAACAGTCAGAATACCTCTCACACCACCACATAAAAATGTGTCCCTACTACCTACAGTAGTTGTGTCATGTCACTACAATTGACCATGTTTTCATGTCTTTACCCTGTGATCTGTGTAGGTGTATCGGCTACACGCCCAATCTCTCGATTCTGCTGGAAGGCTGCCAGCCACAGGTCACATGACCTGGAAGAAAAAACCTGGGAGACTTTTGGGATCCCTATTCGGTCAGACTCACCTTCTTATCGTTATTGCTTGCACACACCATGAGTAACATGATCGATGGGTCGCTCTATTCTGATTTAAAGCCAGCGGTTAGAGACGCTCGGCTTGCTTTGTGTGCAGAAACACAGGCTTTACCAAGGCAACCCATGTTGTGCATAAAGCAACTAACACAAACCTGATAGATGTTTCTTTTCTCATCTGTTGCAACCTCTCTTTTCATGTCTCATTTTTTTCATTGGGCTTTAGCATGGGCTGGCTATCAACCTGAAGGGAAGTCCAAAGGCTGATGAACTGGTCTGTGTCTGTGTGAGACCGCATTGCTCTGGTGTCCTATATGCCCTGGGAACACAACACCCAGAGCAAATCTGGTGAGTAATGACACTTATTTGATTTGTCAATGGTGAATTGATGGGATTCTCTCCCTTCCATTTCAGAGACTTTCAAGCAAGCAGGTGTCCTTGCTTTGAAGTTTTAGACTGGATGATGGTTGATGAGGGCTGGGCCACCGACACTGACATGCATGAGATGATTTTGAATTAGCCTTGCCTTCCAGTGTATCACTTCGTTTGGTTGGGAGGCAAATTAGACAACTGGGAATATTTGTATAGTTTCTCACAAACAGAGCAGATCTTTAATGTTTATGAATACACATCAAATAATGCTCACCATTTCTTCTTTATTTTATCCTTATTCCATTTTCTGTAGGGCTGTCCCCGACTAAGGATTTACATAGTCTCTTTTCATTCAACCTACACTGTAAATTTACAGCTAAACTGAGGCTTTTTGAAGACCTTTTTTTCTCTCTCTCTCTCTCGCCATTCACCTGTCTTGCGCAGACTTTTACGTGCATTACTGCTGCCGACAACTGCATGCACGTCGCAGTTCCCTGCGGGTCTATTTCAAGTAGCCGGCTATTTAAAAACGATAAAATATTCTTTATGTGGTTCATCAACGGTGATAAATTATCCGAAAGCCCAGAGAGGCACGAACAACTCGGCACAACACCGTGAAGCTGTGGCTTTTTCTTTTACATGTTTATTTACAGCATTAATGCTTCAACTGTGACATTGACAGTCGAATTAGGCTCCGCCCATCGAATCTTCGACTATTCGGGGTCAGCCCTAATTTTCTGCCTGCCTGTCTAAATGTCTCAATTTCTTTTCCTGCTGGATAAAGTAACAAGGCATATATATCTCTTTTCTGTTCCACCAGCCTCTGTAACAACCTGACGCAGTAGACTATGTTGTGTGGACAATTTGTGAGTAATTCTTTAAGTGTATTTATTGTTTATGTAGCAGCAGGCAGATATCCATGGTTTGTTTACACAATTAGCTGGTTTCACACTCCTCCACTGATTGGTGGCAGATAAGTGTCAGGACATGTAGTAATGTGGCAACAAAATCAAGGAAGAAGAATGTTAACCAATGGTATATGAATGTAATAAACTCAGATTAGAAAAAACAACTTGCAAACCATATTTGTACCCAATTAATTTTTTTCTTAAATCTTAGGTTTTTATTCTGATTCTTTTTTTATCAAATCAACTTTCTTTAATTAATCTAAGTCGTCAGTTTTATAAGCTTTAATACATTCATTAATACATGTAGGCAGCAGTGTTGGGCAGTAATAGTCTTACTTTTCTCAGTAACTAGTAGTGTAACTAAGTACTTTTCATAGTAATAATAACAGTAATAATATTACAGTTACTAAGGCAAGTAACGCTGCTTTAAGTGCAATTTATACTTCTGCGTCAAATCGACGGCGTAGGTGACTGCGTAGGCTACGGGGCTACGCAAAGACTACGCTGTCACCTGCACCTCCTCAAAAATTTAACTACACGTCGAGTCGACGCGGACCGTAAGGTCTGTGATTGGTTGGCTGGGCTGCCTCGCAATGCCTCCGTGCCGACCGGAACTACCCCGCGCTTTGACGGCTGCTGTAACACAGTGAATCAATATATTTGACCGTCGCAACCCGAGCAAATGATCATTTCGCTATCAGAATGTGATCCATTTGGTCAGTAACATTTGAAAAGGCTACACCAGCTGCACGTTTAGAATTTTACCCCCATTCACGTTAGCCTGCTTGGCCGGCAAAATTCAACACAGTGGACGCTGTAGCGCTACTGCCGACTAGCGTTTGGGGGTGTAGAATGACGGACACACCTACGCACAAATATAAATGCATGGCTACGTGCATAGCCTACGGCATAGGTACGCACGAAGTCCCTACGCAGGAGTATAAATGGGCCTTTACACGTTACTGAATGCACCGCCCTTGACGTGAAAGCGCGACTGTGTGTCACGTCAGCAGAAAAACTAAAGGAAGAAAGGAGAACGAGGGAGAGAGGCATCTGCTGAAGCAGCACATGAATGTCAAACTTATAGAAAGATACTCCGGCAGCTGCTGTCACTGATGCTTGGACTCGTCGGGAGAGAGCGGCGTTAACGTAACGTTTTGTAACTGCTCTTATAAACAGGCTACATGTGCAGCTGTTCAAAAGTCGGGATTTACTGTAATGATGCTTGTTTAAACCATACTTTTTGCTGCTGTTATGAATATTATATTAGTTAAAAAGTCAGAGACTGCTTCATTTGGGGGTGAAGGGGGGTGGTAGTGAAAGCAATGTTTCCCATAATTAGCCTATAATTTGGATAATTAAATAATAATTAAATATTGATTTTAAATTTTTTTACTAGGCGTATGTAAAATCATATTTGATTGAGGAGCTGTATAGAGGAGCACATATTCGTGCGGCACCTCCTTTCCCTCTTTCTCTCTCTCGTGAACACCGCTGCACCGGTGCTCTCTTGAAGGGCGGGAAACAGAAAAAGACCTTTTTCCCTTCTGCCTCGACCACAGAGACATAATGTCTCCCTCTTGGGTCGGCATGCATGCCCGCTGCACCACAGTGAAAGACGGTGCCCTGAAACTTCAGTGGTGACAGTAGTCACTTGCATAAATAGAACACATGGACCCTCAGGCTCAGTGTACAGTGTACAGTGTGAGGGAGGATTCCTTAAGGCAGATTTTGCCCTTTGTCTATGTATAAGCTTTTGTGATCTTACAGGGTCAGGTGTAATGCTATCAGGTACAAACCCAGATTAGTTGGACCGAAGGCAAGTCAGCTCAGCCTGCACTTCTTCCCTAGTCTAGCTTTGCAGAGACTAAAAGTGCATTTGAGTGCAGTTTGCATTGTGGTGGCATGATGGACAAATGGTGTAGCCAACGATAAAGTGAAACTAAGTGGAATTAATGTTTACAGTCCATTACTGAACCCTGGAAGTGATTTTTCATTGGTCCAGTTTATGTTATGTATTCACCAGTGACTGCTGACAAAGACCTGATTGCTATGTTCACGTGATATTAAAACAACCAGTGCACTGTGGATTGAGGGAGGCCATCCACTGTCAAGGATGCTCCTTCTGTGTCCTTTATATTTGGGCAAAAGAATATTAAAGCCATATCCGGTGGAGCCATTGGGACAGCCTTGTCAGACGCCATGACGTGTAAACTTCCAAAGAGGCAGCCCCTGGCCAGTTTGCTTTTTATCTTCTCTGAGGGGCTTAATGTAACTCAAATGATCTGGGGTAGGCAATTTATTTCAGAAGCATGTTTGTTGAAAATTTGTAAAAATTCTCTTTACTTCCCCACAGCAATCAATAAATCAAATGCTCTGACACAAAGACCAAAAAAACAGCCTGTGGCTCTCGCAGGACTGTAATAAGCATGGCTGGCTGACCTGCCTACCTGCCTATCTACCCTCACACTCTCTGCCAGTGCACTCATTGCACATAAACATGTGTTTTGGGGGAGTGGCTTTGGGAGGGGGTGGGGTTTTCTCAGTTAGACACTTTCAGAATTTAACTCTCTCTTGCTAGTTTCTCCAACATTACCTAACCTAGCTTTGAAGAGATCACATTATGGTTTTTGGATATTTCCCTCCCCCTCTTTGTGTTATATATATATTTTTTGTGTGCATGTAATAGGTTTGCAAGTTAAAAAAAAGCCACTCCAAAGGGAGTTCCCATCTCCCACAGAAAACACTGCTCCTGAACTGCCTGAAAACAGCTCGACTGTAGTCCAGCCTTTACTACATCACTATGTAACATGCGTCATAATACTTGCGGCTAGTGTGGCACGCCCTCAAAAAGAACATTAGATACACTGTTTTTCTCATTTATTAAAGCAGAGTAAAGTCTATAAACTAGATTTACAGTACAAATACCCATACAGAAGTGTTGCCCACCACAACCAGCCTTTGCTATGCTACACCCACTATGAAAATCTAATAATTAGTATCTTACTCATGAGCATCCCACCTTACAGTGGAGCCCATATGTGTTGCTGTGACTGATATTGCGTAGCTTTAACTCTGTCTTTTAAAAGTTCACATAGGCTTTCAGTCCACTATCACTGCTTCATTTGAGAGCAAAAAACATCAAGAGGGTGAGGGGATAGAAAGGAAATAAAAGTGCATAACTTTCCTTTGTTGGTCTCTCTGTCTGCCTCTTTGTAATGAATTCCTTTGAACATGTTTGTACGTGCCAGAGCAAACACCGGTACATGTGCAATGACTATTAAATACTTCCAGCAAAGCTTCATAGATTGATCCTCAGAAAAAAAAAATCTAAGCTGGCTGCCTCTACAGAGTAATGCTTTGGACTGATAGGACTAAGTCTGGAGACGCTGGCTTTCTTTTTATAACCCCCTAGGGAAAGACCACCGTGCCTTTGCTACCTCTGGCCACAATACAGAATCTGAAGCATACGTCATACAGGCAGATTAAGTAGATACTAAACACATCTATTCAATACACACTTATTGATTCATTGTGAAAATGAACAGATTAATCGACAATGGAAATAATTGTCAGATGCAGCTTGAATAACAATTTAATCAATGCAAAAATACATCACACAATTTGAGGTGAGTAGGTTAAATCTCACACCCCATACAGTACATTACATCTTTACTTGTTTTGATTGAAATACATTCTTTTGCAGACGCAGCTAGGTCAGCTAAAACAGACATTATATTGTTTTACGCTAAATGCTTAGGCACAAATAAGGATAATAGAAAGAGGCTTATCTCAGAAAACATCACAATACTGATCACAGGATGATCTATGTTGTGACTGAGGGCTTGTTGACTGCATTCTGAACAAGACTCTTAAATAATAGGATTAGTTTGAAGATACGCTACTAAGTCCAGTACCTGTCACTAAAGCATGTGCTGAGTTGTACATCAAAAGAAAAGCCCTCGCTGGGAATATGTAGTCTTTCCCAGCAATTTCATGCTTTGATACAAATGTTAACATTTTAACCTTAACTGTCCGATCTGCTGCGGTCACTGAACAGTTCATCTGGAACCACTGGGGAATAAATGACATAGACTAGGACACAGAGAACGTTTTTGTGGGTCTTGTTGATGGATAGGAGGGTTGTGCATTCATCTTTTTATTTATATAGGAAAATCAAAATATAGATTTTCATTAAAATCAGGCAAGGACAGTACACAGAGTAGAGATTGTAAAAAAAACAATAAGTCAGATAATCTAGTAAAGAATGAGATCATTTACTGTAACACAGCTCACTGAGACCTGGTGAATGTACAGTCTACAGTAGCTGATCCAGCTCTCAAACAACTTCTCTACAACTTAATACTGCAGCTCTGCCCTCATTATATTGCTATTAGTCCATCCCTCTCCAGCACTATCCCTAAACTGGCCAAGGAGGTGCACTAAAGCCGACTCTGTGGAGACGCAATGAAGTCAAATATTAATGAGGCGGATAAAATTAGCTTTCATAACATGATCCTGGAGACTCATTATTTAACTCTCAAATCTTGTAGGGGGTTTCCCAAGTGCCAAACACCAGCTACCCAGCTGCCTAGTCGTGTCTGTCCGACTGGCTACTTTTAAAACTATAAAATGTCCTTAACTTGTGTATTAACTCTAAATATCATGTCAACCCTAGGGTCTGTCGTGATCCAGAACTGATGAAAAAAAAGTTTAGTTTAATTAATTATGCAAGGCCACGCTAAGACTATTTCCTCCTCCCTTTACTTTACCGCTTGGGTAAGAGTCTTTTGTTTGAGCAGAGTAGACTTTTTTCTTTGCTGTTTTTTGTCGTATTAAACTGCGACTGTCAAAGCTCAGCTGTCACACAGACAGACACAATGACCGGATGTGTTGCGCCACATTGTGTACGCCACTGCACAAGATGCAGAAAAGGGCTGAACACAGTCTGGACTGCTGCTGGTT